AACATGGAATGTACATACAATGGACTACTACTCAGCCTTAAAGAAAAATGAAGTCCTGATACATGCTTTAACATGGATGAACCTTGAAGACATTATGCTGAACAAAATATCAGTCATAAAAGGACAAACATTTATGGTCTCACTTGTCATTTATGAAATGACAAGAATAGGTAAATATATAGAGAACAATGGTTAATAGTGGTTACCAGTGGTGTAAGGGGGGAAGGGAGAAAGGGAATCATTCTCCCGGAAGTAGTGAATTTTTGTCTATGGTGATGGGAAAACTGGCATTGACTAAATTGTTTATGGTAACTGATATCATTACTTTAGTCAAATTGTGTAATCATTGGGAAGAGCTGCCTCCTCAAAGTAGAGTCGACCTTAATGACTTGGATGGAGTAAAGCTTTTGGGACCTTCCTTTGCTGATGTGGCATGACTCAAAACGAGAAGAGACAGCTGCAAACATCCATTAATAATCAGAACGTGAATTGTATGAAGTAGGAATCTAGGGAAGTTGGAAGTTGTCAAAAATGGAATGCTTGAAGATCGATATCCTAGACAATAGTGAGCTTAGTCATCTGGTGCTGCTTCAACAGAAGTACCACAAGTGGATGGATTTAGCAAAGAGAAGTTTATTCTCTCACTGTCCAGTAGGCTACAAGTCCAAATTGAGGGCGCCAGCTCCAGGGGAACACTTTCTCCGTCGGCTCTGGAGGAAGGTCCGTGACATCAATCTTCCTTTGGTCTGGGAGCTTCTCTGCGCAGGAACCTCACGTCCAAAGGACACGCTCTGCTCCTGGCGCTGCTTTCTTGGTAGTATGAGGTTCCCATGTGTCTCTGCTCACTTCTCTCTTTTATATCTCAAAAGAGATTGCATTAAGACACTATCTAATCTTGTCAGCCTCATCTGTATAACCTCATTACAGTGACAGAATTTACAACACATAAGGAGATCACATATAATCTCATCATAGTGATAGAGTTTACAACACACAAGGAAATCACATCAGATTACACAATCATACAACACTGGGAATCATGACCCAGCCAAGTTGCTACACACATTTTTTGGGGACACAATTCAATCCATGACAACTGGTTTTGGCCATTTTGAATTGGAAAATCATAGGAATGACAAATTGAAGAGGAATGGCGTCGTGTTCCTTGTCAAAAAGAACATTTCCAGATCCATCCTGAAGTACAAAGCTGTCAATGATAGGATAATATCCATGCATCTACAAGGAAGACCAGTTAATACGACTATTATTCAAATTTACACACCAACCACTAATGCCAAAGATGAAGAAATTGAAGATTTTTACCAACTTCTGCAGTTTGAAATTGATCAAACATTCAATAAAGATGCATTGATAATTACTGGTGATTGGAATGCAAAAGCTGGAAATAGAGAAGAAGGATCAGTAGTTGGAAAATAAGGCCATGGGGACAGAAACGATGTTGGAGATCACATGATTGAATTTTGTTATTCATTGGAAATACCTTCTTTCTTTCTTTTTTTTTCTGCCAAAGTTTTGGTTAGCAGCTGAGCTCTTAAGTAAGTCTTAAATTCTCTTTCCTGTTTCAACTTTGGGCTTTCTGGACTGGCTTAGGGAAAGCTTGCATAAAAGTAAGGGTAAATGAAAAGTTTAAATAACTTTTGGAACTCTGGGGACATTTAAATGTTTGGAGAATTAATTATTGGGTGGAAATACCTTTTTTCAACAACATAAATGGTGACTATACACATGGGTCTCACCAGATGGAATACATAGGAATCAAATCAACTACATCTGTAAAAAGAGACGATGGAAAAGCTCAATATTATCAGTCAGAACAAGGCCAGGGGCCAACTGTGGAGCAGGCCATCAATTGCTCACATGTAAGTTCAAGTTAAAGCTGAAGAAAATTAAAACAAGTCCATGAGAGCCAAAGTACAACCTTGAGTATATCCTACCTGAATTTAGAGACCATCTCAAGAATAGATCTGATGCATTGAACACTAATGACCGAAGACCAGACAAGTTGTGGGATGACATCAAGGACATCATACAAGGAGGAAAAAAAAGGTCATTAAAAAGATAGGAAAGAAAAGACCAAAATGGATGTCAGAAGAGACTCTGAAACTTGCTCTTGAATGTAGAGAAGCTAAAAACGAATGGAAGAAATGATGAAGTAAAAGAACTGAATAGAAGATTTCAAAGTGTGGCTTGAGAAGACAAAGTATTATAATGACATGTGCAAAGACCTGGAGTTAGAAAACCAAAAGGGAAGAACACGCTTAGCACTTCTCAAGCTGACAGAACTGAAGAAAAAGCTCAAGCTTCAAGTTGCAATACTGAAGGATGCTATGGGCAAAATAGTGAATGACGCGGGAAGCATCAAAAGAAGATGGAAGGAATGCACAGTGTCATAGTACTAAAGAGAATTGGTTGATGTTCAGCCATTTCAGGAGGTAGCATATGATCAAGAACCGATGGTATTGAAGAAAGAAGTCCAAGCTACACTGAAACCATTGGAAAAAAACAAGGCTCCAGGAATTGACAGAATACCAATTGAGATGTTTCAACAATCGGATGTAAGGCTGGAGGTATTCATTCATCTATGCCAAGAAGTTTGGAAGACAGCTACCCGGATGACTGACTGGAAGAGATCCATATCTGTGCCCATTACAAAGGGAGCTGATCCAACAGAATGTGGAAATTATTGAACAATACCATTAATATTTTGGGTAATATTTTGATGAAGATAATTCAAAAACGGTTGCAGTCGTTCATCAACAGAGAACTGCCAGAAATTCAAGCTGGATTCAGAAGAGGATGTGGAATGAGGGATATCATTGCTGATGTCAGATGGATCTTGGCTGAAAACAGAGAATACCAAAAGATGTTTACCTGTGTTTTATTAACTATGCAAAGGCATTCAACTGTATGGATCATAACAAATTATGGATAACATTGCAAAGAATGGGAATTCCAGAACACTTAATTGTGCTCATGAGGATCCTGTACATAGATCAAGAGGAAATCGTTCAAATAGAATAAGGGGATACTGCGTGTTTTAAAGTCAGGAAAGGTGTGCATGTGGGTCGTATCCTTTCACCATACTTATTCAATCTGTATGCTGAGCAAATAATCCAAGAAGCTGGACTATATGAGGAAGAACATAGCATCAGGATTGGAGGAAGACTCATTAACAACCTGTCATATGCAGATGACACAACCTTGCTTGCTGAAAGTGAAGAGGACTGGAAGGACTTATTGATGAAGGTCAAAGACTACAGCCTTCAGTATGGATTATGACTTAACATAAAGAAAACAGAAATCTTCCCCATTGGACCAATAAGCAACATCATGAGAAATGGAGATAATATTGAAGTTGTCAAGGATTTCATTTTACTTTGATCCACAATCCACACTTAGGGAAGCAGCAGTCAAGAAATCAAATGATGTATTGCGTTGGGCAAATCTGCTGCAAAAGAGCTTTTTACAGTGTTAAAAAGCAAAGATGCTACCTAGAGGACTAAGGTGCACTTGACCCAAGCCATGGTGTTTTCTATTGCCTCGTATGCATGTGAAAGCTGGATAATGAATAAGGAAGACTGAAGAAGAATTGATGCATTTCAATTATGGCACTGGCGAAAAATACTGAATATATCATGGACTGCCAGAAGAATGAACAAATTTGTCTTGGGAGAAGTACAGCCAAAGTTGCTTCTTAGAAGTGAGTATGACGAGACTTCGTCTCATTTACCTTGGACATGTTATCAGGAGGACCCAGTCCCTGGAGAAAGACATCATGCTTGGTAAAGTAGAGGGTCAGTGGAAAAGAGGAAGACCTTTAACGAATTGGATTGACACCGTGGCTGCAACAATGGGCTCAAACATACTAACGATTGTGAGGCTGGTGCAGGACCAGGCAATGTTTTGTTTTGCTGTACATAGGGTCACTATGAGTTGGAACTGACTCGACAGCACCTAATGACGACACCTACTGATAATGACAACTACATTAAGCTATGCACTAGAAAAAAAGGGCAAAATGGCAAATATAGTGTTCTATATAAATTTAAAAAAACAGCAGTACAAAAAAAAAAAAAGCTGCAGCTGTTGGTATTACTTAGGTACAACTAAACATCTCATGGATTTAGCTTTCTTGTTTTAAAGGTTTAGGGTCATGGTTTCATGGGTCTTTCCAGTCAATTGGCCTAATGTTGTCTTTGGAGTTTCTATTCTACCTCCTAGTTCAGTGAGTACTGCTTGGGGTCTAAAAGCTTGTGAGTGACCACCCAAGATAGGACAATTGGTCTCTATTTGCCTGGGATCAACAGAGGAAGGAGACCCAGGAATTGCAGAAGGAAATGGACTGCAGGTCTACTTGCCTTCATAAACTACTATTTGTCATGAGACCAGAAGAAATGGATGGTGTCCGGCTACCAATACTGTTTTGATCAAGAATTCAATATATGGATCCTGATTAAAAGGAGGAACAACGTGGAACAGAACTTCAAATTCTCAGGGAAACCAGACTTAGTAAATCCATTGAGACTGGGGAAAAAAATCTTTAAACCTTGAGCCAAAACTATCCTGTGAAGTTATCTTTAAACTAAACAACAGTTTAGCTCAATTAATAAAGAATGCTTGCCTTGAGCATTACACGGTTTTAAAGAATTATCCATACGAGAGCTAATTGACAACAGTAACTCTAAAGCACCGATGAGAACTTTAATGGGCATAGAGTCTGAATTAATGGTGTTAAAGCAATACGGGCAGAGTGAGAATGGTGACACAATGTAAAGTATGTAACCATGGTCATTGAACTGTACACGTAGAAATTGTTTAATGAGTACATATTTAAAAAAAAACATGGCTGGGAAGTTGATTTTTTTTTTCTTGTAATAACTATGGAGAAGTCATAAAATGCAAAATTTACACGTTGCCTCTTTCGTGTCAGTTTTCCTAAGGTATGTTTTCTGAGAATAGTAGTAAGAATTGAACCAATCTTTTTTTTTTTTTTTTTTATGGTAGATGTTCAGATGCAGTTTGAGTTGAAATAAAATTAATTCCCTAAAGGATTAAAAACTATACTAAAGAGAAAGTCTGTCTTCAACTTGTTCCTGAATTTTATAACGAAGAACTCCTGAATCAAAATAATCGGAATGGGCGAGTTCAGCTTAGGTGTTTGGTAATAATACCTTTGCTTAATCCTGTATCTTTCATGCAAAATATGCAAATACTCTGAAAGTACTCATTAACATTTATGGAAAGCTTGATCATATAAATGTTTATTTACACATTGCTTTGTTCAAATATGTTTAAATATGAAATCTAAAGTACAACCTGTACTCAAAGACGCATGCAAGAAAATACTGCAGCTTATGAACAGCTTTTCACTTTTTTCCTACCTGGCTGTTTTAGATGAGATGCAAGCTTACATTCAGAAATATGCAGGCCTTGTGCTACGGTTGTGTGAGTACCACTGAGTCTCAAATTGACTTAAATGACTTCCTTCTTATTCTTGATGTCTCTTCTCCACCCAAGCCAAAATGCCTATATCCTGCTAGCCAACAATAACAAATAACTGGATAAATTTATTTAATTTCAGGGTTTATATCAATATTCTGAGTAAATGAAAGGACTGGAAGATGGGACAGTAGAGGGTGGCAGTGGACACAGCCTTTTTCTTGTCAGCAAATTGCACTGCAATCACCAGATGTCTCTCATCTATTGCATTTCCTAGCTCTTGTCTTCAAATTTTCTTCAGAGATACCATGTGATCACTTCTAAGTTCCTGATACTCACATTCACATGATTTCTATCAGGACACTCTCCAACCCTCCCCATCTCAATAGTCATTCTTCTCCAAAGAGTTGACCATCAGTAAAATAAATGGGGTCGTAAATAACTACCGACAAATATGTAAGGTAACCATTTAACTTAGAAAGTTACTGATGGCAATTTTCTTATGCATCAGTGGCATATAAAGTTTCTTTGTCGTATGCGTCCCTAAGCTGGCAGTGAATGAAGCTGGTTAATTAGGGGAGGCCTCCTAGCTGTGCAGAACCACACTGATTCCTTTAAGTAACCACAGTCATTACCATAAAAGTATTTACTGAAAGCTGGGCTGGACAGCCAGTGTGCAATCTGATCTGGCAAATGCACAGAAATTGCACTCCAGATTACATATTAAGGCACTAATTACCCAAATGAAACTCCAGGGGCACCTTAGGTAGATGCAGTACAGTGAATTAAGGAAGGAAATAATTAGTCACAATTGCAGAAACTAGCTCAACAGAAAGTGAAAGAATGCATAGTAGACACCCAGCAGCCTATTTCCTGCAGAGCACAGGGAGCCTTTGTGACAGTTTAAGACATGCAAAGACAAACATGACTTCTAAAAACAAATAAGAAAGGGACAGGTCTCAATTTTAAATTACAAAAATGACTTTATTTAAGTTATTTTCTCTTCCTATGTACTACATAGCCAAATAACAACACTTTTTATCAAGAATTTACAATAAGACAATCAACTTTCAAGCATTTTTCTCGACAGTCTTAGAGGGTTTGCCAGCATTTGACACAATCTGAACATGTACAGACGGTGAGAGAAAACAAGCAGCAAAGGAAACATAAGGCATGGGGTTCCGACCCCAAGAAGAATATTCATCAAAGAGGCAGAATCAGGTGAATTTATACATTAAAAACCAAGCATAGAAGCTGTTACTTAACATGACCAAGAAATTACATTGTCCAAAGTTATATACCCCTTTTCAAGGTCTTCTGATAAAAACAAAATTCCTTGGGTGGGGGAGGGGGAGGTGGCAGATGGGAGAGATGCTCCCCTCTCCAAATGAACTTAAGGATGTCCCCATTATTAGTGAAAGGCCCTGCAAGATGGAGGAAGAGTGGATATCTCCTTTGGAAGGCTGGCATAAAATTGGATCAGAAGGATGTCATTGAAGCCCAAGTTTGAAAAATCGATGGCAGTTTTAGCTGAGACTGTCCAGATTTCCTTACCATGTTTCTGAATAGACAAGAAAAAACGAGAAAATCCTATAGACCCTTTCCAACAATTGTGCTATTTTGCAAATTTATTTTGGAAGGTTAGTATGGAACTCTACCCTGAGTTATTGAGATCCTACCAAACATGTGAACTGTCTGAATAGCATTATTACCTTCAGGATGAAGGGAGAATGTTAGTTGACTCTTAATTTAGTCTCTAAAACAGTTTATGTTGAATTTATTTGTTCACTACTAAGTACTGCTGACGGTTTCCATAATGATGGATTGTAAATGTTCTCCTTTAAATATATTATTACTATTTATCAGGTATTTGGTATGAAATTAGACAGTAAAATAAACTATGTAAAAAATGGACTTTTCTTATAGTAGAATTAGGAAAATAAAAACAACAGCAAAACTGCTCTTAGGGGAAATGGTAACAAGAGATATCAATAAATAAAAATTTTGTTTTCTGTGTCTTGGTATCAGCAATAAGAAAATAGCATATTGAAGAACTTAGACTTCCCTCATTCCAAGTAACCCAGAGGAGATTTTGGGTTATTTAAGCTCCCCTCCACTAACATAGATCGAGAGCCAGGTAAAGAGGCATCTCTACAGGAATAAAATCCTTGCAGTGGTCCTAGTTTCCAAGCCTTTCTGCAAAAGTAGTGCCTGCCGCACAGGACGCTATGTCAATTGTTAGGACTCATTAAAACAGCCACATGGGAAATGTAATGACAGGGAAAAGGGTAGATGAAAAATAAAAATATTTTATAATTGTAAATACCAGGTCTGACTGTATCAAGAACCTCTATATTGGTGGTGCTGGGTTAAAAACAGAACAAAACCCACAACACACAACAAGAAATTGCACTGATTTTCTGAAATGTGATCTTTTTAGGTGGGTTCCATGGGGATATACTTATATACTCCATTTCAACTAGACCATCACCAGACAATTGCTTGTTCTATATGTAACCATTAAAGCTGACCAAAAAAGCTTACCCACCATGGGCTGCAAACAGCCATAGGAGGTATGAATAAATATGGTGCTTTCGTATTTACATAAGCAGTTTCTCATGGATCTTATAAAGGTTGGAGAAATAGAGCGAGTTGTTCCTTTTTTTTAGCAAGAGCACTTGTAAAATACAGAAAGTGATTAAGTAAATACCCCCTATACACTTAGTTGATCAGTTAAAGGATGTTAGAAAAGTCAGCAGTTCATTTACCTGAGTTTTCCATTTAAAGGCTAAATAGTAATCAAATGCTTTTTACATAAGCGTGTGAACAAAAAATTACAACATTAAAAAGGGCCAGAGTCGGGAAATTTAGATTTAATTAAGTTTGAGACTTTCAAATTTTTATAAAATCGAATAGAAACATTTACAGATTTTCTTTTTTAGTTAACACGTAAAATCCTAGAACTGTACTGATTTACTGGATGTTATTTAAAACTTAGGCTGGGGGTCAGCCTGTGAAATCATTAAGAAAACAAGTCAAATTCTTTTGGAATTTTGAGCAAATTGCTACAAGTGATAAAAGCTAGTTATCAGTAACTTATTTCAGTTATGAGCCCATATGAGATTATCAATTAATGCTAAAGACTTCAGCATAAAATATGATTTTTAACCTGAATAGATCCCTTTTGAAAGGTGATATAGAAAATAACTATAAATTTTATCCAGAAAAAGAGTGCACCCAGTGTATTACCAGCAGCTGCCTCAGCTTACCTTCCAACAGGGTGTTTTGGCCATGCTCGGCCATGGACAATCTGCTAAGTTTTTGTTTTTGTTTGCTTAAAACAGACAAGGTTATGTTTCTAAATACAATGCACTGTTCATAATTAGGATCCCAACAATATTCTGGAATTGAATATTTTATCCTACAAGAAACAGGGCCATGCTATTATTTCAAACCATATTATTACTATTTCATTTTCAGGTCTAAATAAATCAGCTATGCAACATCACCATTCTAAAAGTTTAACACTTAGCAAAACTGTGAAGCACTTTGGTTGACATGATTAGATTATTAAACAAATGAAAAGCACATCCTTCCCTAATCCTTCACCCCATGATGTAGCACAAGAATTTAAAACACGATCGAGGTACATACATCTGTCGAGCTGCTCCTACAGTTGCGTTCTGTGTATTATTCAAAGTGGCATTGAGCGAATTCACCATTATCAAGGAGCAATTTTTTAAAAGCAGCATTTTGAAACCCCCCAATTTTCTTCCTCCTTTCCTTCATTAAGTCACAAAAGTTTTTCAGCTCAGACAAGGGCTCTGGAAAAGGTCAGTGTGAATTCGATGCATAAAACAAAGTCCATATGATCAGTAGTACTGGTCTTGGATTGAGGTCAAATAGTGTATTTCATTTTCTTGTTCAACACAGCTTAATGGTCAGTAAACAATTTGCCCACGACGCACACTGTGTTGGATTTTAAGTCCTAAGGTGAATAAAAGCTCTACTGACCACCAGGCAGAAATTATTGCTAAGTGAAAACCACTTAGCAATTTATTCACTTAAAAAAAAATAAATAACAGAACCATTTTAGATGAGATACTTATTTTAAGCCAAAGAGAGCACACAGAGTTCCAGAGCTTACATCACTAGCATTCCCAGCATGACCAGGCTTCAGGGAAACTGATGAATATATAAGTAGATTATTTTGAGCAACAGGCAGAACTTGAATAGATTATCACTGCCACACGGCCCAGAGGAAAGGAGAGAGCTTGAGTGGAGTGCACCATCTATTTAACAATGCTTTAGTAGAGAAATTTTTTTCAGCCAATGCCCCCGCATATCCAGATATCAAAGATGATTAAATTACTCAAAAAACAGGCTTCTAATTCTATGATTTTTAAATGTAATTACTGACTAGAATATTACAATAAATCTAGTTCTCTAAGGTTGTTCGCCAGTACTACATAGCAGTATTGAGATTAAAGGAGGGCAGGGAAGCCTTTGTGTATAGCTTTTAAAGGATGTTTTTAAAATGTTGGTGAAAACGCAAATCAGTTAAATTACAGATGATCAATTCAAGCATGCCCGCCATTGAAGATTATTGTTGTTACCCACTCATAAATTCCTTGCCTAATGATAAGTGTAACTGTCAGGTGTATGAAATAATATAATTTAGGTTTCTGTTGGGGGAGGATTTAAAAACAATACTCTGTGACAACGCACTTAAGCGAATTTACGCTCTGCAGAAGTTTTCAGTGTAGAATGAAGGACTTGGCCAATGAAGATGGCAGCTGGTATTGAAATAATTAGTACAGATTCCTTGGTATACAACACACAATGAAAACAAAAATAAGACCCTGGACAGGTGTAAACAAGTGAACAATGACCTTGGCAAAATACTTTCACGTATTAAAAAAATACTGAAAAGCATGCAACTCAAAACTTCCTCCCTTTCACAACAATGGACTGAAACAACACCACCACAAAATACAGATGGAACCATCTGTTTCTGCCAGTAGAAAACACTAGATATATTAGGTTCCAGGACGAATAAAACTTTAAAATGTTAATACTGAAAAAAATACAAGTAAATTTTTATTAAAAATATACATACTCCTTACTCAATCTTGTGTACATTTTGTTTCATGTTAAAAAGAAAAAACAACAAAATAGGAAAGGCATTAAGACTACCTAATTATACTGTATTTGGTAGTAGCGTGTTTCAGTCAAACTTTAAAGAAAAATAAGTTATTCTGTTTTCATTTGCTCCCGGACATCAGAAGGCAGAGTTTCAAACAGAGCGTCTTCGACAACTAAACCAGCTCGCTTCAGAGCCCGACAGTCACCCAGTTCAGGAGGAAGGAGTTCAAAGTGATTTCCTTTAACATCTAAATAGGAGAGGAACAGTAGATTCCCTATTTTCGGTGAAAGTACTGATAGGCTGTTTTTCCCAATCTTTAGAGTTTTCAGTTTCTTGCAGAAGTAGAGTTCATCTGGGAGGCTCTCCACTTTGTTACAAGTGATGGAAAAATACTGTAAACTTTGTAGAACTCCTATTTCAGGTGGGATAAATCGAATGTCATTGTAGGATAAGTCCAAATATCGTATTTTGTTGCAGAGGAAGAGGTGGGAAGGGAGCACCTCTATTTTATTGTGACTAAAAGAGAGACGCTCCAGGCTGGTGAGTTTCTTTATATGCTCTGGGATGTAGGTGATGCTGTTATGCCACAGTTTTAGCACTGTCAATTTTCTCAAGTGCTGAAAGCTAACAATTTCTTCTATAGACTTCAGATTATTTTCCTTCAGGTCCAGTTCCTGGAGGCTGAGCAGGCTGAACACAGCGTGAGGAATTCGCTCCAGATCACAGTGGACCAGTTCTAGCTCCGTCAGGTTGACCATCTTCTTCAAGTTGTTGAGCATCACCAGCTTGGTGCCATCATTATGTACGCACATCTTCTGGAGATGGCTGGAGACATCAACCACCGCCTGAGGGATTTTGGACACATTGCTTTTGATAGAGAGAATTTTAAGGCTTTTGAGATCCCGCAGAGACTCAAGGGTGACATTTTTAGAAATATCATGACTTAGAGAACCGACTAGGTACAGCTCTTCCAGATTCCGGAGTCCATACATCCAGAGGGGCAGTTCTCTCATGTCATCAAACTTGACGCTCAAGACCTTGAGGTTCTCCTTCAGGAAAGATAAAGCTGCACTGTGGATTTTGACAGAGCACTGGTGTAGAGAGAGCTCTTGGAGATTGTCTAGCTGCGCAATTGTGGCTGGTATCATTACGTTCTTAATGATTTCAAGTTTTAGAGACTGTAACTCTGTGATTTCAAAAACAGTGTCTGGAAGGCCAGAGAGCATGATAAGAGGCAATTCCAGTCGGTTATGGGCGTTTGTCTGTAGCTTCTGCCTCAGTTTATCGGGAGTCCACTCGTTATTTAAGTTCAGCTGCTTCAATTTGTTTTCACTGACTTCAGATAGGAACACTGCAAATCTCTTGGAATAGAGAGGGTCATACTGATCTATCATATGAAGCATAAAAGCAAAGTCATTTTTCACATCTGGAATATCATCAATTCCAGTCTCCTGCCGAACATACTCAAAAGAATATTCCCTCAGAGAACGATAGAACAGCCAGTATAAGGTATAAAGGCACGTCAATCCATAGATACTTACAAAGCACAGGTAGCAAAAGGAAAGTTTTGAGAACAAGTGTGCCATGGTATGATTGCAAGAAAAGTTTTTGTATCCAGTCATGTCCTGGATGTCAACATTACAGTCCACGGTAAATTGGACTTTGGAAACCAGAGCGCTATTATATGCAATTATGATCAGAAATTTTATAACCTTAAGGACAGTCTGGCGAACATACATGGCATACAGGATATCACCTTCTTCCACATGCAGCCTGAACTTCTTTACCTTCTCAAATAAGGCCTTGGCTTGCTCACCTTCCTTTTTATCCAGGGCCCCTGCAGTGGATTTGTCAACCACAAACTTCTCAGGGATTGATTTTAAAGACTGAGAGTTGACCAGGCTGCCTTCTGGACCAGACTGGATAGTGTTGGATCTGCTCATATTGTTCTTCCTGTTGTCTTTTTCTTCTGAGTCCTCCCCAGATACTTCAGACAAAGCCCGTGTGGTCCACGGAGAGTCAAAGCACTTCCCCAGGATTGAGATGAAATGTTCTATTTTGGAGCTGGATCCAGGAAATTTGAACCAGAAGTTACTGCAGAGCATGAAGACCAGGGTATGGATGAGGACAAGGTAAGGGAAATATTTGGCATACCAGTGGAGGGCTCGCTCATAACATATCTGGTTTATAAAACTGTACTGCTGGAGGTCCAAATCTGTCTTCAGTCCTTTCATTTCCACAGTGGCAGGGTTAGTAGCAGACGGTTTAGGTGGAGGCAGTGGAGTGGTACTGGCAACCGCTTGGGAGACATTCGAAACAGAAGAATGGTTCTGAGAGGGCTGCACTCTTTTCGGAAGGCAGATGATCTTGTCCTGCATGACCTGAAATACAGAAATATTTCAAATTATATTACTCAAAGAGCTTTCATAATGTCATTAGTGCTACGAAAGCAGCAATAACATCCAATAAATGTCCATTTCCTTTGCCTGGATTATACAACTTTCAATTCCAGTACCAAGATTTTATTCTTAGCCCATTATGTTGGAAAAATGAAATATCCAGTCTTGTTCATGATACAAATCACAGGAAGTTTGTATTAGGACACAGAACAAGTCACAGCAAAATAAATATTTAGAGGTTCACCGTTCAGCCTGGGAGTAGACAGCCCCGTCAAACCAAATGGGACTAATAAGGTACAGTAGTCCAGTGA